TCAGTTACTCAACCCATTAAATCAAAGGAGCCGCAAACTTTCATCCCAAGAGCGATAAAAATGATATTGGGCGGGGGTAGGGGCGACGGATAGCGACGAAGGGCGGAAGTTTTCCGAGAGTTTTCCTCGCTTTTCGTGTTTCGTTTTCTGCGTCTGACTCGCTGGCGCCCCCGAAAATCGATTGTAAACAAGTTGAACAACAAACAGCTGAAGGAAAAGCGAACAGAAAAGTTTATGAAACCAGACCGCTCGTAGTTTTTTCTAAGGGCAGACCGAAAATTGTCATATGAAAAACAGTGAAAGATGAGACGATGGAAATTGTAGAAATTGTTAGTTTGATAGCGAAAATGGAAAACTTGTAACATTGAGTTTAAAATACTTTCTGCTTTCTGGGACAAAAGCAAAATAAAAGATTACGTATAATATACTTTTATACGTTTTTACATGGCCCTTTACATTTGTAATAGAAATCATTTGCTTCGTATAGGAACTAGCACGAATATCAAATAAACAGAGCGGCCCACGGGGCGTATGAGTTTAGTTTTTGAAGCCCTGCCAAGTTGGCAGGACTCGCCCCAAGCATTTTCATAAGACTTTATTTGGGACGTGGTCGCGTGCCAGACAGCAACAACATAAATCAGAGTGAGAGCCCAAAACTAACCCCAAATGCCTTCCTTCCATCTCTGTCCATTTTAGATTGCCATCTTCGCCTACGACCGCTACACAATGCCCGCCCAGAACTTCGGGCTACCCGTTCCGATTCCGTCGGATTCGGTGCTGGTCTATCGGCCGGACAGGCGGCTCCAGGTGTGGCGCTTCTTTAGCTACATGTTCCTGCACGCCAACTGGTTCCACCTGGGCTTCAACATCGTCATCCAGCTGTTCTTCGGCATTCCCCTGGAGGTGATGCACGGCACGGCCAGGATCGGTGTGATCTACATGGCGGGCGTCTTCGCCGGATCCCTGGGCACCAGTGTCGTCGACTCGGAGGTCTTCCTGGTGGGCGCCAGCGGTGGCGTCTATGCCCTTTTGGCCGCTCATCTGGCCAACATCACACTGAACTATGCGCACATGAAGAGCGCATCCACGCAGCTCGGATCAGTTGTCATCTTTGGTGAGTTTCCCCACTTATATATCTTTCGAGTGAATTCTTCAGATCCTTTCCTTTTTTCAATGGTGCTTAAGCTTTATTTTCGATGACTTGACTAACTTGCAACCCTTTCGTTCTTCCATTTGCAGTCTCCTGCGACCTGGGCTATGCTCTCTACACCCAATACTTCGATGGCAGCGCCTTCACCAAGGGTCCCCAGGTGTCGTACATTGCCCACCTGACGGGAGCCCTGGCCGGACTCACGATCGGGTTCCTGGTGCTGAAGAACTTCGGTCACCGGGAGTACGAGCAGCTCATCTGGTGGCTGGCCTTGGGTGTCTACTGTGCCTTCACCGTCTTCGCCATCGTGTTCAACCTGATCAACACGGTGACCGCCCAGCTGATGGAGGAGCAGGGCGAGGTGATCACCCAGCATCTGCTGCACGACCTGGGTGTGTCCTAAGTATGAGGATGGGAATCGTTGGCATCCTCGCAGGGATTCGGACTCTGCCTACGGCATCAGCTTCAGGAGAGATCGAGAGACAGAGAGCTGGTGGAAAAGAAAAGTTCACTCAACGATTTAGTTCAAAACTAATTCGATATTCGTTTGGCTTTTGCTTTTCGTTAGCATTATCGTTATCGTTACCGTTTGCAGTTAAACGTTTCAGTTCCGAAACATAGTACACAAACTCAAAAATGAAATAAGAGAAATACACTGGACAAATATGAGGAGAACATAAACCGAAGCCGAAACGTGTAAACAAATGTTGTGATAGAACCAAAGACTGAATTTATTTCGCGTGTAAAAACAAAGTAAAAATCAAGAGGAAAATCAAGAAACAGAACTAATCGCCTCTCGCTATTTAAATGATTTAAATGAACCCATTATCCATTATCAATTATCCATGTTTTCGTTTAATGGTTTGCCTGTTTTCTTAAATTATGTATTTATTGGCCCCAATCACTCCGAATGAATCGAAGCGTCAGCAAACTGTATCAAACTGTTTATACATCCATAAGCATAATCTGCTCCCGAACTGTAGGACTTAGCGTTATATTTATATATCTAGGTATAACTAGCCTCCTAACAAATTGTTTCAAATTGTAAATACTATTAAGTCGCACACTAGTCAAACAACAACAACAACAACAAAAGAAAAAGATGGAAAACCACAGCAAAGAACCATTCAATTCAGATCAATTAAGCAAATCGAATTAAATTAAATTAAATTAAAGTCACTTAATGCGTTACAAAATCGAGCAAATATTTATCGTAATCCCCTACACACACACACACACTGACACTCAAAAGTATTACTAATTATATTTATTTACGGTAGGGCAGCGAGGGTTTATTAATTCGACAATTGAGCGAACTATTTATTTATTTATTTATTTAATAATTTAGTGAAATTCACACAAACAAGCAAGAAAAAACAACAACACAAGAGAGAAAAAACAAACCAATTCAACTGTAAAAATATCCAATTGAAAAATACACACGAACAAGCCAAAGAAAATAAAAATCAAAACATTTCAAGAATACAACCGAAATTCAAAAGCAGCAAAAGCCTTTTCATTTCCCTCACTTTTCTTTCAGTTTTTTGCTCGATTTTGCCCACAATTTAAGGGCAATAAATAATCGAGCAAGCAGATTATTAAGATACTTGACATATTGACCGATACACACGCACACAAATCGCCAGAATATATAGATAGATAGCAATGTATATCGTACGCAAATAGAGAAATATTCAAAGTAATCGCAGAATGAAAATAGCTAATCTGGCATAAAAGCCAGCAAAGCGTAAGCCAAAATAGAATCCTTGTGGGCCCCAAAACCCCAAGTTAGCATACTCGATTTTCAAAATAATGGATCCCACACACACCCACTCCACCCGAAAATAAAACAAAAAAAAACTAGGAAACGGAAATGTTCAGCACGAGACAAGAGAAAAGCAAATAGCAAAAAAATTATAGATAAATAAATAAGGAGAGAAAAATTGAACAAAAATAAATGTCTAAATTATAAATGAAATTCTCGTTTTCTTGATAAATAACTCAGGGCGGTTGGTTCAGCATACATTGGATGTGCGAGTTGGGGGAGTCCAATCAATATTTGCTCCACATAAATATGGGAGAATTCAAAGCGAAGGCAGCAACTAAGACTCGAGGAAAATCCTTAATTAATACCCACTCCGCAGAAGACTTGTGTCAACGTATTTTCCCACTTGAAGGGTGCAACTGTCGTCCCACCAATCGATATTTGCTCCATATAAGTTGGAGCCGTGACAAATTGAAAAGCCCCATGAAACACGAAGACACAGCATACGAATTTTGTAATAATTCATATTGTCATCAAACATTTCATATTGCATTCAATCCAGCTGGATTAGCAGCACTAAGTCCATGAATTTCCGAATAGGCATTCCACTCGAAGGAACTAGCTGTTTGCGTTTATTCGACTACAGCATACCTACTCTGATTCTTAAAGCTATAAGCACTTATTACAAAACGAATGCGGAAACATGCTGATCGAGTACACCTAATACAAATTGTTTATGATATTCTAATTTGGGTCCCATAATTCCCTCTAATTTACACAAACGAAGCATAAACACACTCTTTTTCTTAAAGCTACAGGGTATAATCCCCCTCTTTGCTGGGCACAATGTTACATTTATTAATGATGCATAATCAAGGAAGCGTTGCCAAATCAAAGATGCCTGATTACATCTGAGAATTAACAAAACACTTGGGTAGCTAGATGAAACTCACACGATTTACGAGGCTGAATAGATGAACCAAAATAAGACTTCGATTATGTACATAGTCAGAACAAATTTTTGGGGTCCGCAAACTGCAATTAATAATTGTGCATAATCAGAGCTGCCTGATTGCACCTGCCAATTAATTTCCGCTTGAATTATACAATTACGGAAGCACAGATACAGCAGATAAAGCAGATGTGACTCCAAAACGGGACACAAGCTTAATGCCTTCGGATTTTGGGGGCGGAGTAGACACTTGCCGGCACTTGCAACTCCCAGGCAAGAGGACAGACAAACGCCAGTTCCAATCCAATCCAATCCAATCCGAAACGCACCCGGAGAGTCTAGGCAGTTTGAGGAGCAAGATTTATGGTAGACAGGAGCTGCCGCCTCGTGGACATCAAATTGAAATTCAGGCACAATGTCAACAGCAATCGAGGACGAGGTCAGACAGGCTCAGACGACGGCGGCAACTGCTAGTGCGAGTGCGAGTGCGACTCGGAATCAAGAGCTGGCTCTGCGAAGCCGAAAAATCCACATAAATAACGCGGGCATCCAACTGCCCGCCACCCCGGCCCGTTGGCATCTCGTCCAGCTTGTTTCTGCGAATGGCAGGTGCAACTCAATCAACGCCCCCCGCGCCTCGCCAGCCTCCGCGGTATTTTGCCACAACGTTGCATGTCATCTGTTCGGGCCTCGGTCGCTGGAGCTGTGGACAGAAGCTGCGGCTTCGACTGGGAGCCACCTGCCCAAAAGTTGACTTTGGACGTTTTTGTTTACATTTGGCGGAAAGGTGAAGTGGCGCAGCGAAAAGCTGCCACGGATTGGAATGGAGTCAGAGTCAGAGTCAGAGTCAAAGCCAGAATCAGAATCAGAATCCGAAACGGATCCAGAACTCAACTGAGGAAGCTGGTAGCAAGTTTCGAGTGGGTATCACAGATCAACGATCTGCAGATCGAACAGAAAGACCTCCGACGAGAACCTCCATGGGTTCAATGTTCCTAAGAGAACTCGGAAGGGAAGCGATGACCTGAAAGAGGTGCTCAATCGTTAAGTTTCTGCAACTTACGGGTAAGTAGGGGAAACCTGAACTGTATTTAATCTTAACCAAATGTTTATTATTGTATCATTCAAATAAACTAAAGATGCGTTTCGTAGTACGGACAATTTAAGCCATAATATACATCAACAAATACTTGAGGGCCACCAGAAATTCATTTACTATCAAACGAGCCCCATCAAAACAAACAACTCTACCACAACGACCTTCTAAATAACTGCTGAAAAACATTCTTCGAGATCTTTGGTTTGAATGAATCTGAAGGTATGAATGCCGATGCAGGACCACCTATCAAAGCATAGCCTTATCGAGGCGACGAGTGCTCCTTAATGTGTCGAGACTTTGACCCTGAGAAGCAATTATCCCTTCTGGCCGATCGGCTTGATCACCCAGCCCGGCATGACTCTTGCCAGTTTCCATCGACATTCGCCGTTTTGCGGCTCAATTAGGCGGCGGAGTTTCATCTACCTGATTTGAGGAGTCCCCGGACCGGACTCCAGAGCCTCTTCTTCCATTGGGCTTCCCAAGTAGCAGCACGCTGGGGCGCTAATTGAAGGGAACGGAGCAAAGGTCAGAAGGGAGGACCAACTCGAAACCGATCAGAAGCATTCATTAACAACTGGAAACTGTCTCTAACTACACTAATCCTCGTTCAAGGACAAGGCACCCAAATCGTGGAGCATTAGCTTCAGATGAAAGGCATCCACGCCATTCATGTAGTAACGCAAATACCGCCGTTCCCGTATAAATCCCAGACTTTGGTAGAGCGCCAAGGCAGGCTTGTTGCTCAGCTCCGTTTCCAGGACAATCATGGCTGCGTCTTTCATCGCCATGGCTTCGATGGCCAATTCCGAGAGTGCCTTTCCGATTCCCCGCTTCCTGTACTCCACATCCACCGCCAGCATGGCGATGTAGCCCTGCAGAAGTCCTTCTCTTGTCGCTTCCAGCTTGCACACTATCACGCCCACATAGCGATCTCCATCCAGGGCGAAGAAGCACAGGTCTGGCCAGTTATAGACAAAGTAGCGGTAGGTGTAAATGGAGTACGGTTCGGAAAGCTCCTTGTCGATCAGGCTCATGAGCACCTTGAGCTGTGACTCGTCTTGGAAGACACAAAAAGTAATTCCTTCCCACTTTGGCTTATCCCGTGCTTCTTTCTCAGGAAGAACAATCTTTTCCGAGGAAAGTGCAAGGTTTTTCTTTACAAGACCCATTTCCTCTTGAGAGGCAAGATGATTTTGAATAAGAACAGCATCCCCCATTGTATACGATTGTGTTTGGTTTTTTATAAAAAAGTTCCCGAATTTTTGAGAAAAGCTAGCTGAGGAGTTGGCATACTTATTTCATATCACATTTAGCATAATTTGTGAGCCCAACCCAAAAGGTTCAGCTAGAAAACAAAAGTCGCTGCAAAAGAGTGGAAATGTCGTGAAAACTCCTGCCGCGACCTTGGTGGCAAGGCACTCGCACAAATCCCAGCAGGTGACAGGCAACGTGGCAGGCTCTAAATAGCATTACCCAGACTCCTGTCTCGGTTCCCACTTTGCCCAGCTCCATTCAGGGCAATTAAGAGGCGCGCCTGGGACAGAAGGAGGGTCGGGGAAAAAAGGGGAAACTCCCTGAGCATGTGAAAATTATGAAAATGTCTGCCACGACTTTGACAGTTGGCCTCGCAGAGGGCTCCTTTGTTGTCTATGTCAGGATGACGACGAAGAATACGGAATTGCCAGGAAGCACGCACAGGTGTCCACCAGGTGGGTGGTGAATCCCGATCCCTGGGAGCTTCCAGGTGGGTGGTGGTGACAGCTCTGAGCCAAGCCTCCCGCCCTCGGCTTTGCATATATGAAAAGTAATTTCGTGTATTAGGTTCGTGTTGATTGTGTTTCCCGGTCGCCTTTCCCCGGCTTTCCCGCTTCCCATTTTGCATCCGGATGAGGAAGTGCTTCCCAGCAATGACCTCATGTGACCACTGGTTAATGGAGGGAATGCAACAGAAGCAATTAACCTAAAAGGCCCATAAAGCACACACACGGTGGGAGGACTCATTTTGGGGGTAATTCAATACCGGCTTTAAGTCATTTTCTGGCCGTAAATCAGATTAGCCCGGCTATAACTACACATTGCTTGCTCACTTACCCCGCATTTTGATTTGAGGCCAGTTTTGTTTGATTTGTGTCCGGCCTTTTCGTTGTTTGCAAGGTGTCCAAGAGAGCGTTAGTAAATCCTTCAGTCGTTAGCTTAATTAATATTAGCTCTGCGTCAAGAACTTATTGATCCAGAAAATCCGATAGCTTTGATTAACACATGTTTATGCCACATTCACCGGGGTTTACTACACTTTTTTTCTACGTAATTGCAAATAGTACAGAAGAATTGGGTTGCGAATATATATGCATTCGTAAGCCTTATCTTTACAACAACTCCTTTCATGATATTCTTATATTATCATAGCTATTTATGGAGTTTCTTTCTTTGAATTCATAGCCGCAAGCCTTTAGAAAGCTTCAATTTTTTTTCTGGCTCCTTGTGTTACTGCTCCCGCCACTCGACTCCGTTTTATAATTGCTCCTGTGGCACGGAAAACGCTTCCTCCCCCTCCATTCGGCCGCATTTCTAAGCTTTTTCAAATACCCAACTGTGGCAGAAATTAATTACACCGCCAGGACATAAGGACACTTGGCCCAGGAAAGCGAGTTCATGGAGTGTTTAATGAAGCGGTTTAAGTGGCGGGTTTGTGGGGGACAGTCGGCGGCGGCGGCGCCTCACAAAAAAGGCGACCAGGGCAACAAATTTCCATATTTGCCCGTTGCAGTTGCCGTCGCCGGCGTCGAGTGAGATAAATGGATGGAGGACAAGTCCTGCGGCAGTTCAGGTGCCTCTTCCCTTTTCTTTCCACCTCAAGTGAACTCTTTGTCCAGTGCATTCAGCTCATTGAAAGGAGTTCGGAGGGGGACAGGCAAGAGGTTGCTCCTCTGGTGCCGTTTCGGTCTCTGTTTGGGCTGCCAATATTTCAGTTGGCCTTATGACAGCTACAAGTGCGCCCCTTGATAAGCATTCCGACGATCCCGGTCCCCATGTCCATGTTGCGGATAAAGCGACGACAACTGGACGATGTGCGATGCGAGATGTGTGAGGTTTCTTCGCAAGACGAAAGGCATATCGCAACTTGCCAGTTGCAAGTTGCCGGTTGCAGGTTGCAGGTTGCAGGTTGATTCCCGGCAGTCGCGTGGGACGCGCTCCTCATGGCTCCGCTCCACATGGTCGCGTGCTCCATTGTTTGTGCATTCCCTGGAATTCCCCGATTCCGACTCCGATTCCGCATGAATATGTCAATGTAATGATCTCCGCCGTCTGCAGCTTATTCTGCGCCCCGTTCGTATCTGTGGAATTACATAAATATTAACTTGTACTTTTTATAAACATGTTTGCGCACCACAAACTGCGGATTGCCGGCCTGGTCATGTCGAATTCCGAGCGGAGGAAGACTTCGATTGATATGATTTATACACTAAAGACTACTCCAGACTGGCTTCATTCCTACGGAATAAGTTAAGTGCAGTGCCGCAAGTTAGTCTATTGGCTGTGGCAAGGCATTAAACCTGATTTCAAAGTCTCTTAGCGGAGCATTCGCATTAGAAGCTGGCTACAAATTAATTTCTGGTTTTTAATCAGGCGTAGTGCAGAGTCAATTAAAACATTACTGGGCTCAATGATATAATTGTTTGAATGTTTGAATCCTATAAACAATGATGTTTACGAATCGGAATGCACTAAAACTAATTTAATTGTTTATGTTTGTGTAATGCTACACTCTTGAAAGACGTGCAACATTGAGTTCCTTACCAGTTTTTTCCGGTTTTTCTTCCTCTTTCCAAACTTGCGAAAGCAACAGGACACGTATGTACACATGTATGTATGTATTTATGCAGGTTTGTATTTTACACAAACCGCCGCGAAGTAACAGTAATGCCGCATTAATCAGCGTCAATGGGAGCAGCTTCTGTCCAAAAGGATCGCTAAATGGACTCAGTTGCGTTGCTGTCACATTTTGCTTTTGCTTTGCATTTGCTTTGCCGCATTTTTCCATCATTCTCTGCTTCTTCCCGGCGCCACCCCCGCCCCGCAAAATATGAGACAACCCTGACGAATGACTTGACGGCGAAATGTGCTCAAACAAACATAAATTCCGTGTCCGCCGGGATTGGGATTTGTTGACTGCTCCTCCGAGTGGCTGTCCCGAGTTTTTCCCGATGTTCTGGCCAAAAACACGCAACGCGAAACGCCGGAAAAAGCCAAAGTTAACACACGAAACGAAGGATTGCCAGGTGCGCGTGCTGCGTCAAGCGAATTGTAGTTTTTTCGCGCGCGGATTGTGTCATAACTCAAGGAAATGATAAGGATGGATGGCCAATCCTTATCACCCAGCACGCGAATCGGCTTAAACTCACTCCACTTCACTTTTTAAGCCAATTTCAGGGAATTTCGCGGAAAGGCAACGAAACGACGCGTTCATTTGACGCGAGCAAGTCCGAACTGCGATCAGCAGAAAAAACGTACATATGGCAACATTGCCACTGGAACTGGAAAACTTTAACCCTTGAACTTCATCTCAACTTTGTAGGTGTCCACACCCGCTTAACCCTTACTTTAACCGCTAAGCTTAAAACAAATGTTACTATTTTTAAATGTATTTTTATTTACAAGTCAAACAAAATGTGTAAATAGAAAATATGTAAATTTATGCTTTACTCTGTTGGTGCTTGGTCTTAAATGATTTCTTAAAGCTGGCAGTGCTCAGTTACGACGGGCCATATCAAATTGAAACCGATTTACTTCAACTTTTTGGATTATATTTAATATTATTTATCAGTGGTTGAGGTAGTAATCTCAATTGCTATAAGGCCTGTAAAATTTAGAATAAATCGCTTGCATTGCCAATATCGGTTTCCATATAGTCCTCAAAGCATACGCATATATATTTGTATTTCTATTTTACAGCTGTGGAGTTTTATTCATTATTAGCTCCTATATAAAGTCTTCTGGGTCTGCAGTTAATCTTAATTCTATGTAGAAAATGTGGAATTCCTTGAGCATCATGTTACACCTAATCAGTTCGATTTGTTGTAAATATTCTCTTACCATTCTTACAATATGTTTGTACTTAACTAGCAAACAAAACAAAATAATTTACGTCGCATGACACGTAAGCATACAATGAGATATTTATATCTGATTCACAGATATAGGGCTAACAAAACATTAAACGCGAAACTTAATCGACGTCCAAAAACAATAAAAACTTCAATGGAACGCAATGAACAAAATCTAAGCAAAATATCAATCAAATACGAAACAAGGATTGAATTCTGGTCATCCTGTCGCTTATCCTCCTGGGATTTCACACCTGGAAATCATTGAAAATGGTTTCCGTGACACGGATCTTCTCCACGCGAATGTTGAACATCGCAAATCCATTCATGATGTTGAAGGCGATGGCAAAGACCACCAGCGCCGAGTAGGTTCCCAAGGCGATCCACCAGAGCAGCTGCTCGTGGAGCTTCTGCTCAAAGCTCTTGAGCACCAGCAGGCCGATAGTTAACCCAGCAATGGCTCCCGCCAAATGGGCTACATACGAAACAGCGCCCACCATTTCCGTCTGATCTATGGCCAGGAGTTCACTCGAGGATCCCAGCTGTAGTTCGTCGCCAGCATAGCGCGCATAGATGGCAAAGCCGAAGTCAAAGGAAACTAGAAAAAGGAGTTGGTATCCATTATGTCCTGTCTTAACAACACTAAGGTAAGGTAGGGTAAGCACTCACCGAATACCAGAATGTGAAGCAACTTGATGACTCCATAACGCATCTGGTGATAGTTGAGCAGCACATTAGCCAGGTGGGCGGCCAGCAGAGCGTAGACTCCTCCACTGGCGCCCACAAGGAACACCTCCGGGTCAAAGATACTAGTGCCCAGGCTTCCAGCCAAAACACCGGAAAAGTAGATGCAGGCTATCCTTGTCGAACCATGAACCATCTCCAGTGGCAGACCAAAAACCAGCTGCACTGCCACGTTAAAGCCCAGATGGAGCCACCCGGCATGGAGCACCATGTAGAAAAGGAAGCGCCAGATCTCGTGCCGCTTATCCGGACGGTAGATGAACATGGAGTCCGAGGGTATGGGTCCCCTTGGTGCCGCCTCGCCGGTGACAACTGAATGGTAAACAAAGAAACCCAGCTGGGAGAAAAATAGTTAAAATCAAGAATTCGTTGAAGGAGAGCTTAACGCACCTCCACCAGAGTAACCAGAATGATGAAAAAGGGCGGCGGACAGCAGGTGTAGCGATCGGCGTAGTACTTGCGATCCCGCTCCTCGGGCAGGATCTCCATGGCCACGGCGTGCACCATTTTTCGAAAGAGTGGCGGTTCGTTCAGCACCAGCTGGAAATCGTTTTCGGAGCAGACTTCACGATCTCGATGGTGTACGGCGCACTTAAAGCTACGTGTCCGCTTACCGCTCATCTGAAAGTTGGTATGGAGGGTTAATCAGTAATCAACTTGTACATATTTAAATGTGAAGATAACCTGTAATTACATTTCCAGCTAGGGTATTGCGATACATTTTCCGATGATAATGGTTTCAGAGTATATATTCCCTAAGATGGTTATCCAAATACAATGATACCATGTAAGTATAAGTATTTTACTATACCCTCACTAACAAGAAAGTGATTAGAAAGAATTTCAATAGTAACAGGGATTTTACTATTTCCCCTTACAAAAACCCTGTAATCTCAGTAGACTTGTGCCATAATTTCATCAATATATCAGTGGAGACTCTAGGGAACTTCAGTCCCTCGGCAACATTACTCGAATACGGATCAGATCATAACTAGAGACTACATTTTTTAGACTATTTCTAATTTTCAATTTTACAACTCTATTCAAAATGTCGAAATTATATCTAAAGGCCATGGAGGATGTGGTGCAGCGGAACACGGACAACACGAACCGGATAACGGAGCAAGCGCAGGGATTCGTGGTGTCGGAGAATGCCACGGACAGTCTGCTGCACACGTCCTTCGATTTGACCACGGCCCAGTCGATTGTGAAGCACCTGCACGCCAGTTTCCTGAAATTGGCCCAGAGCTGTGTCCGTGATCTGGACACCGAAGATAAGCTGTGCTTCCTGCGCGTGAAAACCCGCAAGCACGAATTCCTGGTTAGTCCGGAGGATGTATTCACCGTGACCGTGGTATTGTAACCCCCCACACCCAGCCCAGCGAAGGGTTAACTCAGGGTGGACATTGTTGCTTGCTGGAGGAAAAGGGATAGATACACTCGCACACCCACTCTCGCTACTGCTGTCTCACTCGCTCATTGATGTTTTTGTTGCAGATCGCCGTACATGTTTAACCCTCTGAACTAAAATAAACTAAACGAGCCATAAAATTATGAGCCGAACATTTATGCGTGTGACCGGCCAAACTAAATTATGTTTATTATGTAATTAAGATGTTGGCACAGATGCCGATGTCAACCATTAAAACAAACGCAAAGCGGGCAAAAATCCGCAAAAAGCGGAAAATAAGCATTGTGTTTAATTAAAAGTGAAGCCTACACGCAATTAAAATGCTCGACTACGACGATTGCGAAAAAGAAAAAGGCCACAAATTAAGCTAGCCATGGCTCCAGGGCACAAAATAGTTACTTCCGCCAGTCTGGGAGGGGTAATTTATGTATCTTCTAGTTAATCAGCGCTAGACGGGCTCTTTTAATGGCAGTAATTATCAAATTTTGTTTAATTGATAAGTTTCCTCTGGCCGACTGGAAGCTGTGGCACTGGAATATCATTTACATTCATAGGTGGCAACTCTGTTCTTGCGCGGGTGTGAATTATGTTGAGTAAACATAGTTAAGCAAATTCCAGGTAATTCCTTCCAGCGAAAGTCTCATTTCTTGCATATCATTATATGTACATATAACTGTAAACTTATTTAGCATTTCACTTACGCGATGAAATCGCAGCTGTCGTGCTTTATTTTTTTGACTTCCTTAAAAATTTGCCATTACGATTATAGTTTAAACACAATGAACACTTAACATTAAGAAAACGACCGATTTTACAACTTTCCCGACAGCGTGCGTAAGTTTCTTTTCGCGCTCTGCGCTTTCCTCTCATTCTAGTTCTATTTCCATTTATTCCGCTCAGTGTGCAACTGTGCAGTGTTGCACAACGCCAGTTGACCATCGGATCTAGACCGCTAAGATCAAAAATCAACAGAAATAATATTTTACTTCCGAATTTCCGATTTGGGCCAATTTCTGGGTATTAAATTGTTACGATTCGCAGACAAAGGGCGCAGAGAATCTGTGTTGTCAACAATGGGAACACCCACACGCATTGTGGCCATGTGACAAGTCGCATTTTCGGCAAGATCAAGCGATCACAACAAAGTGCCAACAGGGCCAATAGGGCCAAATTGTATTCCCAACAAATAATTGCTTATCGTTTGTTTGGCGGACGCAGGCTGCTGCGGCTGATAATGTCATTATCCTGGGCGCAGAGAAGCACAAGGAGTCCGAGTCCTGCTCGCCGCATGACGTCACCAGGTAGGCGACTCCACCGCCATTTAACGGTGCTAAAAGCAGACGCACAGTCGCGCGCGAAATAATAGGAGTGGCAGTTATTAATCTTAAAATTACAGTTGCAGGTAATCTACTTATTACATTAAAGAGCGAGAAATGGAAAGTGTGTAATTTTGATATTTCACTTATAAAACTTGTATAAGGGTATTTATATCTACTACTATTATCCTGGCCTCTGCTGTAGCCTCGCTTTTCATTCACCTTTTGCAGGACAAGCCGACAAATTGACGCAAAACATTTAACGCTGGGAATTGGAATCGGGTCGGCGGACATGGTCAAGCGGCAGACGGGAGCGAGGAGTGAGGGGTAGGGACAGGCGAAGGACCACAGGACGACGTGGTCGGCTCTCTCACTCGCTCTGCGAGCCACAAAAAATTCCTTTGAATTTCGTCCGTTGCAGCAGGAACACACAAACACGGCGACATGTATTTTCCGCATTTTTTGTTGCCTTCTGCCTGTGGCTATGCGCAAAAAAGGACATCTCCGCCGGCGGTGGCTACGGTGGCAGGATGACGGTGGTCCACAGGATCGGTGGCTCGCTGGTTCGGAGGTATTGTGTGCCCTCTATTATGCATTGCGTACGGCCTCGTCCGGCGTGTTGACATTTTTATTCCAAACAGTTGAGCAATATTTATAAACTGGCAGGAAAAAAGGAGCGGAGGAGGGGCAGGGGGCGGATGATGCGGCGGGGGTCATGGTGCATGATGCATGCCCAATGGCTTTATTTCCGGGTGACCGTGTAAAACGTGCTCGTGGTTTGCAGCTTATTAAATGAGCTATTTGATTAACATTGTTCGGGGCTCGTTGTTACGCTAATGAAAGGACAAAAGCGAATATTTGGACTACAAGGCTCAAAGGACACTGGCCAGAAGCCATTTTACAGGACAATTCATTAGAACATTTATAATTCAGTGCATGTTTTATATGCCATGCATGTAAGGAAGCCATGAATTTATATTTTAAATACGTATTGTTAAAGTTATTCTAAAGGAATTCAACAGATTACTCAACTTATATCATCTTTTAAGAATTATCTTATCCTCACCATTGGCTTAAACATGACCTCGCCTTTGGCAATATGCAATTAACTTTCAACAAATAACAATGTGCATGAACATCAGGCAATACAAATACACGTATTTCCACATTAATCGAAATTGTACAATTTACTCTGCCACTCAATTACTTTGTTTTTCTTTGGCAGCTTATTAAATGCCACATTTTGCATGCCCAGGAGCAAGGACTGTGCATTTGTTGATGTTTGCACGGGCGAAACACCTTGGCGTCCTGGGGAAACCGCACGAGCCCGACCAGATGATGATCTAATTGAATGACAATATTATGCCAAGGCCTAATTCAATTTGCCTTCCTTGGGAAGAGATGCAGGTGGAGGAGCTGGAGCTAGAGCTGGGACATGGGCTGAATCTTAAACAAACACGGCAATTACTGCCGACGGATGCACTTGTCTGGCCAAATGACTTGGTCCTGTAATTAGCCCGGGGTTGAAAGGATGCGGGATGGGTCTCGTTTTTCGGTTGGCCCTTTGTCGGCCTCCTCGGGGGTCCGCCTAATTATCACATTTTTACTCATTAAATTCACATTTGCCCGTTTTTTCGTTGCTTTTCCCCTTTTTTTTTTTGGCAGGTCCTGCGTGGATCCTGCTGTCTAATTACAGGGTAATCAGGCTTTCAGCCGCCCTGGCTACTGAATGATGATTGATTGAGGGAGCAGCGGTATCCTAAAATCATACCACAATCGTTGCCTGCTTAACTCATTTTCATTCCAGGTGACATCTGCCCAAACGCGTGCCATGCTAGAAGTGCTGCGAGGAAAGTGCAAACAGCAGCTGAAATGGATATGGAAAAAGCAAATCGAAAACTGATTTGGAGCGGAAGTTCGTTTGCACCTTTCTGCAGTTTCCTGTATTTGCCGCCGCCGCCGCCACCGCCGCCGCCACCAGAACAATAAACATCCACAATCCGCAGCTACAGCCACTTCCATTCCATGCCCGCAATCGCAATCAGAATCGCCGAGTGTTCTATATAAAGTGCCATGACTTGTCTTGGCCTTTGACGCCGTCTTTTGTACTAAGAGAGTTGAGTTCAGATGGAATGGAGGTGAAGTCACCGCCCGTTGGCTTTTGAATGAGCTGCAAATCAAAAGCTATACGCTATTTCACACAGAGTGCCGATTAAGGATATGCGTGTGCACGCGGAGAAACTTTGGACGAGTGTCTCAGTTTCGATAATATCCTACTTGTTAGACATCAGACTTGTTGAATTAATATTATACCCAAAACCAGGAAACACTAAAGATCTAGTCAAACTGTATGTATACGATCCAATGAGCTATGCATCCAATATATTTATATTTAAAATCTCCATTATTTTCTCCATGTATGCAAAGGCAAGGACCAAGGATCCCCGGCAGCTGCTCCTTCAGAACGCTATATTTGATTTGCGATTCGAGGCAGGCGGAAATGGAATGACACGCGAGGCACTCTTACTTTGTTTGACGATTGGCAAAAATGCTGCCTCCATGCCCGACAAAAAACAGAACGGAACGGAACAGAAGGACCAAGGACCCGCCAGCCGTAAGAGACTTCCACTTGAGCCGCACGCATTGTTTGCCCTGCGAAGCGAAGGGGCGTGCTGGAAATCGGATATAGGATCGCTCGTTCGGGACAATCAAATAGCGCAGCGGAGTTTTCCAACCCACTGAGCAGCCGCAATCGGCGGCGAATCAGCTGCCTATAACCTTGAAGAAGACTCTATGGCGATGAGGTGCCAACCGGAGCCACGCGTGTCCCGTGTCCCGTGTCCTATGGCCAATGGTCAATGGCCAAAATTGGACACTGGCCGTCTCATTAGCGCACCAAAGGTTGGAGGGTTAATGATGCGCACCCCGTGCTTGGGCTTCCGTCCCCCACTCCAACGCCTCCAGGCAATTATGCGACGCACTTGAGCTTGAAGGGCCCGAAGGTGAGGAGTACACTTGAATAAATCGAACCAAAACTAGTATAGCACTAGGATTCATAGGTGAATGATAACTCCTAATCGTAAAGCATATGACTTGGAAATTCTTAAAATACTTAAGTAAGAGTTATAGCGCATTGCTTGCGCAGGAATAGGTAGTAAACCATTTGTGATAACCACTGAGTCATTTCAGAGCCACCACTGCAATGGCCAAGCACTTTTTTGAGTGTACGCGTAGGAGGAATGCAGTGGCCATTCGTTGACCCCGTCTGTGTAGTAGCTCGGGTTTTATGGTGTCGTCGTAAATGTCAGGTGCGCACCCCATTTAAATTTATTCAACGTAATTAGTTGTCTCCCTATAAAGTGCCTGTGAGTCTGTAGTGTGTGCATTGCGATGTACAGAGTGCCAGTGCACGAATCTAATTTCATTGCCAACTGAAAACTACAAGTGTTAGGGGATTACGGTGCAGTGCTTCCGCTCTGGTCCGAAAAATTCGATTTCACCCGTTTGAAGATGCATTTTTGTGGCGCGGATTGAACGACACATAAAACATATAAATGGGACGCAACACACCTGCAGGTGGAAAAACATGCAAAAATGATCATTGCGAGATATGCGAACGGGACATGACGCCGCAGGATGCCAAACGGGCTGCTCCAGTCCGCTTGGGCCACCACTCCAGTTCTCGCCTCGCTTCGGTTATCGGTGAATTCCGTGACGATGGCAAAAATATTGCAACGCAGCCAAAAGGGGCAGCAAAGGGATGGCCAGGGTAAAAGGGGGTCTGGGTCCTGGTCCATTTCGTGTGCAGGTCGTTATCCTTGCCCCGGATGCACAACAATCAAAATAAACGGCTGCCAAATTGACCATTGACCAAACATCGTCAGCGGGGAACGGCGAGGCGGTGCCAGCGACCACTGCAGCAGGATGTGGGGGCAGCAAAGGACCTGAAGTGAGGCAAAGGCACTGGATAGCGACATCATCTTGGCCCCGTCACGTGCACTTTCTGCTCCATTCAGGAGCCAAGCAGCCAACTCGAAATAAACATGAAATGCACTTGTTTTTGTGCAGCAGGAAAAAGCGATTAAAGGTAAAAGTGGGGAAAACTTCTAGCACACTTCGATTGGGAAACGAATTCAAGGTGTTCCATTGCAGGCTGTTAAACCAGGGACATGAAAACTAGAAGTAAAGCACTTAACTAGCCCACAGGTCAAGCCCTTCTTCAGAATGCAATCAAAGTAAGGACAGAAATCAATTCAGATGTGAAATCAAACTGTGAAATGAAAACTGAAGCAATCGTAATACTATATTGATATCGTTTAGGCCGGAAATATGTGTAATGGGCCATAATTGATACCCTATAAGCCAGATGCCGACCGGAGTTAGTAGCTGCCGCTACATAATTAACCAGAAATGTTCGCTCATCCCGCGTCCCCACTCGATTTACGATATTATTGCAGAATAATGAAATCGCCAAGAGATTCCAATTCAATCTACGCGCCGCGTAGGCCATTTATGGATTGGCATTGATTTAATACCGCGTCGCGAGAGATCGCCTCCAGGTTCGGTTCCCCCGAGTCCGAGGCGCAAGGCATTTTGCACCTACTTCAGGCCCAAGACGTCCAACTCGCGCTCGCGGCTCCAAAGTCCGCATCTGATCTGATTCCGCCGCCTATCGCTCCCCGAGATCAGCGGCGCAGACGCCACCTTGGCGGAGGCTGGACCAGCGGGCAGGCGGGCATCGCAGCACTCAGGGAAAATACACCTCAGAAAGGCTTCTTCGCAAGAATGACAATTCGAAATGATGCAAGGAAAGTACTCATTCAAATATATTGTTGTATAATTGTATACATGTTTTCTTTAAATACTAGTGACCTCTGTAATGAATTCTGATTCTGGAGCCATAATGGAAATTATTTGGCAAGCTCAGTTTCATACAGCTTTTTGTGCCCACAAATGCAACTACTTCTTGTTCAGCCACCACGACTGAAAGGATTTTTTCTGAATGCACTGCTCCAATGTTTATTCAATAAACCCGATCTGAGATGCAGCACCAGGAGGAGAAGCGGCAGAACAGCAGCTGGCTGGCTGGTTGGCTGACTGGCTGGCATTCCTGCGAGAAGCAACCGTTGAGCAGTTCTGCAGTTGGCCCATTCAAGACAAGCCGCTGGAATTTCTTGGTGCGTGCTCGGCACAGGCACAGTCACAGTCACAGGTTGGGGCTCGGAATCGGATTCAGCTGGTCCA